GACAGGAGACTTGTTCTTCATGGAATATTCATTTGTATCTTTTGACTTTTATATTATATAGAGGTATCACATTAAAACAAAACAAAACAAAAAGATCTAAGGACTATCAAATGCTCTGCTCCAAACCATTTAGAGAATAAAAATAATAAATCATATGTTTCTTAAAGTCAACAGGCATATATCTATATTCTAATTTTTCAAATATAAAAATCAATGTTATCTTGAGACTTATGAACACAGCGCTAGAATGTACACTTCTGTTATATTTTATTCCACTTTTAGGAATCTAGACATAAGGCTTGGAAAGCAATATACTTTTTTTATACTATAGAATATAATTCTAAAAATAATAAAAATTTGTTTTTAATAATCAGTTAATGCCCCTACGATAGAAGGCAACCAACACCTAAGTCTCTGATGGTTTTACTGTACAAATCTGTACAAGTATTTCCTTCCATTTACCAGTAACAGTTTCCATTACAGTTACCACCTTACTAAAATCAGATCATGAGTTTAAAAGGTTAGAAATTATAATTGGAACAGTATTTCTCTTCCTGTAACAGAATCACAGGTAGAATCTAGATATTCCTTATTCATTTAAAGATAGACTGTTTAGGGACTTCCCTGGCGGTCCAGTGGTCAAGACTCCGTGCGTCCACTGAGGGGGTGCAGGTTCCATCCCTGGTCGTGGAACTAAGCTCCCCGCATGCTGCACATGATAGACTGTTTAAATTGAACCTCACAGGCTCACTAATGAAACTAATAATATCATTAACTTTGTGATATACTTTAGAGACTACAGATGAAATCCCAAACTTTTTAATCCACCAGATTCTCCCAGGAAGATAGCATTGTGAATTTCTAGTAACATTTTTCCATTTTGATGCAGAAAATGAGTTCAAGTGGTTTAAGAAAGTGACTTGTAGAGCAGTAAAACCATCAGTTCAACTGAGGGGATGAAGTGCTTATTGGTGCAAAAAAGTAAGGCCCTGATTTGCACAGCATGTCCAGTCTGAGACTACATACCTTAAAAGGAATACAAAAAAAAAAAAGTTACTGTGAAAGACATCAGTAAAGAATATAAGGTAGAAAAATGAGACAGCTAAGATATCTGAGCCCAGATGAAATAAAGAATATAGAAGCAATAACTGTAAGAACAAACACATAAAAGATTAATGAAGAACATAAATGCCATCTGTTTTCCGTGTTCCTCAAAGGCAGTACTGAAGGCATCTTATTGTTTTGATGTAACCCAGCATTCCTTCTCTATACTCTGGTAAACACCTCTCTCCACCCATGTGGTTTAGGTGGGATTCACTCCAGTCCCAGCTCCAGAGGTAGCTGTCATTTACAGTAAGTAGTCCATCCCTCTGGGCTTAGATCGGAACTGAGATGGCTAGGTAATCAACTTAGAGATGCTTAGGGGAATTTTATGCTTAGGGTATCTAGAAAAGAAAAACTGTGGGAAGCTATTTTGTAACTTTGAGAAAACTGAGATACATTTAAATTGTCTCCAGAAACCACCTCCCATTCTATATTATGAGTACCACACTGGATTATATCCTATTTCAATACCTCTGCTTATGTGTGGAGAGGCAGTACAGCACAGGAGTTTTTTGTTTGTTTTTTGGGGTTATGCAGCACAGCTTGTGGGATCTTAGTTCCCCAACCAGGGATTGAACCCGGGCCTTTGGTAGTGAGAGTGCAGAGTCCTAACCACTGGACTGCCAGGGAATTCCCTAGCACAGGAGTCAAGAGCACAAACTACAGAGCCAAACTCTTGGTCTTAATCTCAGCTCTGCTTCTTACTAGCTGTGTGACCCTGGGCCAGTCATTTGAGCTCTTTGTGACTGGTTTCCTCATCTGTAAAATGGAAATAATAGTAGAGCCCACTTAATAAGGTTGAGGTTTAAATGAATTAATACATCCAAAGTACTTAGAATATTGCCTGGAACAGGGTAAGTAGTATATAAATGTTAGCTATTGTTGTTGTAAGGACTAATAAGTAAAACATGCTTAGAACAGTGCCTGACACATAGTAAACCTTGCATAATATTATCCATTATTAAGAGCATTCATTCAGCCATTCAACCAATATTTACTGAGTACCTTCCCTGTGCCAGGCCAATAATGTCTTCACTCTAGACCAGTGGTGTCCAAAAGGAATATAATGCAAAACATAAATGTGCACCAAGTACGTAATTTAAAATTTTCTAGCAGTCATGTTAAAAGAGTAAAAAGAAACAGGCAAAATTACTTTCAATAAAATATTTTAATCCAATATCCAAAATATTACTCCAACATGTAATCAGTATTAAAAATTGAGATATTGGACATCATGTCATTCTAAATCTCTTCATCTAGTGTGCATTTTGCATGTACAGCACATCTCATTTCAGACTAAAGCCATATCTCAATGCTCAACAGCCACATGTGGCTGGTAACTAACATGCAGTTCTTGACATGAAAGGTTAGGGAAAGGAGGGAAATGTTCTTTGTCCTCTGGCCCATCCTGCTACTAATTATCTATATAATCTATCTATCTGAAATATCTATAGTATAATATACATATAGTCATATATATGTATTTTTTCGGTTTGCAAAGTCCTTTCACATTTGCTATTCATTGTTTCATTTAATAGGAACATGCCTCACCTTGAAGGATGGATTAGATTTTTAAGAGATGTGGAAAATTCCCATTAAGAGGAAACAAATGAGCAGAAGCAACAAGGAAGGAAAACCAGGGGTCTATTAGGAAATTAGTCACAGAGATAAACCTAAGAAAATATATCAAGGAAGCCCTCAATGCCAGACCATGGAGGCTGGGGTGTGAATTGTCAGGTGGTAGGGAGAAACTGAAGATGTGAGCAGGAAAGAGGCAAACTTGGATTAAACAAGTGGCTAAACATAGCATGAAATGGAGTGGGAGAGGCTAGAGGTAGTTCATTAGGGAATCACTGCATTAAAATCTCAGGAAGAAATAATCTAGATAGAGGGATGAAGAGGAAGAGAGAGCCTAGCAGTGTCTGGTACTCAGGAGATCCCAATATTAGTTCTCTTCCTCCTTTGGTGACTGGGAGATTTTTAGGGAACTTTTAGATAGATCTCTCTCTCTTTCTCTCTCAGTCTGTCTCTCTCCCTCCCTCTCTAACAACAAACATCTGAGTACCTACTACCTGCCAAGGACTATAATAGACCTTGAAGATATAAGAGGGAACAAAGCAGGTAAGATTCCTGACCTCTTACATCTTATATTTTCTGGAAAGAAACAAACCGATTATGACATAAAATATTTTCACATCGTGATAAGTACTATGAAGAAAATAATCATGGAGATGATTGGCCAGGAGAAGGAATTCGGAAGTGGTGACAGTTAAGCTGAGATCTAAAAGATGAAAGGAGCTGGATGTGCAAGAAGTCAGGGGAAGAGTGTCCCAGGTAGAAGGAAAAGCATGTGCAGAGTCCTGCAGGCATGAAAAAACTTGGATGCTTGAGACTAAACATCAATGTTGCTAGCACAAAATTTGGGTGGGGATTGTGGCAGGAGGTGTAGCGAAGGGGGCGATCAAACGGACAGGTCATGAAGGGCCTGTAGACCAGGACAAGGAACTGGATCTTAAGAGCAATAGGAAATCACTAAATTTCAGTATCTAAAAGGTTGCAAGCAATGATTTCCATTTTACGATCACTCTTGCTACAGTGTGAAAAACTGCTTAAGGCTGGTAAAGGTGGAAGCTGGGATTTCAGGTAGAAAACAACTAGAGAAGAGCAGGTGAGAGATGATGGTGGCATGGCTTATGTTAAGGAAGGTACTTGGGAAAATTAATGACCCCACTCCAATATTTGTGCAGAAAAAACCCCTCTGCGCTGCAAAAGTTTCAAATGAAGGATGTTGTTTTGTCCTATTATGCACTTTTTTGGGGAAAACTGCTACTGAAAAAGTCAACATGAAAATAAATATTTGTTTATTCTAGGCATTGGAACATACAATCTTAACACATTGTTAAATGTAAAATATTATTTCCGAAATGGAATTTTCAATTTCATTTTAGTTAAGGTGATTAGAAACTTTCTGAGGAGACAACACATGACTTGAGAATTGGGGGAAAAAAATTAGGACTCCACGCAGAAAGAACAGCCAAGTACAAAAGCAAAGGGGCAGGAATGAGACTACCATAGTCAAGGACCAGAAAGTAGCCCAGTGGCTGGAGCCGAGTAAGTACCCATCAGCACAAGGTACGTGGGCCATATTTAATCAATGACCACGAGACAGCTTCTCATTCATCTGTCACCTCCACAGTGCTGGCAATATCACGAAGTAGCCAGTAATAAAAAACAAGCAGAGAAAGGTCTCGAGCTACCCCGCGCTACAGCATTTTTCAGCTGTCTCACAAGAGCTGATAAAAACTCCATCCACTTCTAGCGAACCAAGAGTAGAAACACCGGTTCTAAAGAGAATGAGTACATTGTCTAGATAGGGCCTGTGCATTCCCGAAGTCTTGACCGTAAAGCTCTTTTCGGACTGATCACCGCCTCCGCCCGCAAGGCACTTCCCTGCACACCTTTAAAGATCCACAATCCTTTAAAATTCTCAGGAACCTCCTCCTGCCGGCGGTTCTCCAAGTCACTTCACACGTGACCTTGCCTCCCCAACCCTGGGCCCTTCAAACAACTAGAAAGCAACGTAACTTCTTTCGGCAGCGCAAACGAGCTCCCCAAACTCCACTGCCGAAGGAGCCAGGAAAGCCCGCGTTTACAGGCTAAATCCGCAACGTCACATCCTGTCACCTGCCCCAGCCTCCACCTTACATCGAAAATCACCAGCGTGACGAGATCAAAACGCCCGTCCCCCAGAGCCAATGGGCTCTGTCCAGCTCCCTCCTCAGTCACTGTTTTGTCTATTCGTGGCCTGTGACGTCAGAGGGAGGAGCGCGGAGGGAGGTACGGAAAGTGAGAGGGGCCAGGCTCGATCGTCGCTCTGGAGGCGGAGAAGGAGGAAGATGGTTTACATCTCGAATGGTGAGTTGGAGAGGCTACGTGGGCGACCTCCGTCCTGGGAGGCCGAGCCCCAGGTTTCTTCCATCCTCGCCCGTCGTCCCGGCGCCGCTTTCCCGGGCACGCCCCGCGGCCAGGCGGAACTGGGGGCGAAGTCGCCCGGGCCTGCGGCTCGTCGGCCGAAAGTCCCTGAGCCGCGGCGGGGGCCAGGGTCCCCGTGGTGACGGCGGTGCCGAGTGCCCGGCGTCCTCGCCCTTCCGGAGCTTCTGCTTGTGGGTCTCGGAAAGTGGTCTTTCCTGTCGGGCGTCAGTGTCTTTAACTAGAAAAGACCATAGTGTTCACGCCGTTACGTAGCGCTTGTGCCTCGGGCACTTTTTTTTTTAGCGTTGTTCGTTTGTCCGCTCATTGTCTTAATGTCGCCCTATCCGGGTGATACCCTATTATATGTTTTGCGGGTGGAGACTGAGGCGCAGCCGGATTAAATAGCTTGCCCAGGATTACAAAGGTAGTTCTAATGGCTCAGCCGGGTTTCTAACGCAGGTAGGCTGACGTCTGCGTTCTTACGGTTTTCTACTACGCTGCCTCTTTCTGTAATGTGTAAGAGAGTTGAAGAAAAGCTTTGGATAGGCTTTTCTCTCCCAGCAGAGGGGTAGCTCGTCACGCATGTAGCTTTCTGCCCTAATTTCAAGGGGCACAGGGAGTATCATTACTCCCTGTAGGAGCAAGTTGATTATTCCTGGAATGGAGAAGCTGAGAGAGACTTAATTCAGTGACTCCCCAAAGACAGTGAATGGAAAGGAAAGACACAGTATGACTGGGTCAGAACAGTGTCAGAACTGCCTGCCCACTTGTTTGACTCAGGTGAAATAAATGCCTTGGTGCACTCTTAACTAGTTCTTGCATCACTGGAACCAGGTCCTGGTTCTATCTGAGTCATGTGTTTATCTTCAGAGACCATGAAGGTAGTGAGAAATCTTCTGGCTGAGTGCACTTTGCATTTCTTTGCTTTTCAAAATCTCACTTTCTCTTCCTCCTTGTCTCTTACTTAAAAATCTTTGAAACAAGTAGGTTGATGGACACCAAAGTTTCATCTTCGTTTTGGGCACTTGCAGACTTTGTGTTATATTTGTGGTTAAGGCTGGCAGCTTCTATTATTTATTGAATAATTATTTGTATTTGTAGTGTGTCTTTTTGTGTATGCATTGTTGTTTTTGATCTACATAAATAACATCAAGGTCCTACTAGGGCCTCTAATCTCACTTTTCTAGTTGAGAAATGGCCAACTGCATTCAAGCAACTCATTTCTCTCTGAGGATATTGGGAGGGGAGGTTTCTGCCTTCAGAAACTGGGAAGAAAAGCGCAGAAAAGTCAGAATGGTACAGATGCATGCAGTATGTTCTTTAGAATCGCAAAGGAAGAAATTGACGGGTTCCAATTAGATCTATTTCCTCCCTCCCTTCCTTCTTGTCGCTGCGAGCAGGCTCTTTCTAGTTGCTGCGAAGGGGGGCTACTCTTCGTTGCGATGTGCAAGCTTCTCATTGCGGTGGCTTCTCATTGCAGTGGCCTCTCTTGTTGCGCAGCATGGGCTCTAGGTGTGCGGGCTTCAGTAGTTGTGGCTCGTGGGCTCTAGAGCACAGGCTCAGTAGTTGTGGCACAGGGGCTTAGTTGCCCTGTGGCATGTGGGATCTTCCCGGACCAGGGATCGAACCCATGTCCCCTGCATTGGCAGGCCGATTCTTAACCACTGGTCCACCAGGGAAGTCCTAGATCTATTTTCTTACAAGGACTGTACCAGCATTTCATAGTTGATAAAAACTTTTTCTTACTGTCAAGTGACTTTTTTTTTTTCCTCAACAATTCTATATGATGACTATCCTTGGAATACTTTTCCTCAGAGAAGGAAAATGTCACATCACCCAACGAGGCAGAGCTAGTAAGAGGCAGAACCAAGCCTATCACTCACACTCTGTCTTTAAGTGTAGCCCGTTTTTCTCAGTAGCTCTGTGAGGGCTCAGGACCAAGTGGATACCTGAAAGTAAGCTGGTCAAGGAAAGAGGAGAAGTAAACTGGGCATGGCAGTGAGTGGTGAAGCCCTTGGGAAAATGGAGAGGAGAGGTAGTTGACAGATGGCTCGTCTCCCAAAATATTCTAACCTGTTGATCTGCAAGACTGAAACTCTAGAGTATTAACTTTTCCTGATGTAGCTTCTATTATTTAAAGTGGTTTGAAAAATATATCCATTTTTCTGTGAGATAAAACTGGAGTCTGTAATTCGGATCAACAGCATTCTGTTAAAGAAAAATAGTGGTCATTTTAATGAACAAGCCAAATTCTCTTTAGTACTTAGAGCCCACGAATTCTTTGATATATAAAAATTTTAACATAACTGATCCTGAAGATTTTAAGGGTATGTATAAACAGTCTTTTTATATAGGCAAGAGACTTTGCAAGTGAAAGAGATACTCAGAACACATTTAGGAAAATGGAAGTGGTGTGAGCATTCTTTATATTCACTCATCTCATTTGTTTCCTCAAAATACTTGAATAAAGGTATTGTACACCCATGTTCATAGCGGCATGTTCACAGTAGCCAAAAGGTGGAAGCAACCTCAGTGTCCATCAATAGATGAATAGATAAACAAAATGTAGTATATACTTACATTGGAATATTCATCAGCCTTAAAAAAGGAAGGAAATTTTGACATATGCTGCAATATGGATGAATCCTGAAGACATTGTGCTAAGTGCAATAGCCAGTTACCAAAGTACAAATATTGTGTGATTCCTCGTACAAGGTTCCTAGAGCAGTCAAATTCATAGAGATAGAAAGTAGAATGGTGGTTTTCAGGGGCTGGGGGAAGGGAGAAATGAGGAGTTAGTGTTTAATGGGTGTGGAGTTTTAATTGGGGAAGATGAAAAAGTTCTGGAGGTGGCTGACGGTGATGGTTGTATGATGGTGTAAATGTACATATTAATGCCATAGAACTGTACACTTAAAAATGGTTAAAAGGTAAATTTTTTTGTGTGTATTTTACCACAGTAAAAAAAAAAAAAAAAAGAGAGAAAAAAAACTTGAAATGTCACCCAGCAGAAATTACAAACTATAGGAGGCATAATTTGACATATTAAAGGAATGACCTCTAGACCACAGAACTTCACTTCCCTTACCTTTCCTTAGAATGATGTACACATAACACACCTTTCCTTGTGTAGACTATTTGGAACAGTGAACAAGTTGAAAACTGAGCCTACGATTGTTACCTGACTGATTAAATGTAATGCATCTTGTGTCAGGGATTTGTTGCACTAACTGAAGTTTCTTTATTCTTGTCTATAGGACAAGTGTTGGACAGCAGGAGTCAGTCCCCATGGAGATTGTCTTTTATAACGGATTTCTTCTGGGGAATAGCCGAGTTTGTGGTTTTGTTGTAAGTATAGTAGTCCTCTTAATAGCCCTGATATTTAAGTTCAGCTTGCCTGAAGCACTTTTTAATTGTAATTTTTATTAATAGCTTTTCTAAGGGAGATAAAGACTTGTGTAGTGATAAAACTGTCCCAAACATCTTTTATGATTATGAATATGTTCCTTGAGTTAGTAAGCTTGACCATGTCTTAGCCGTGGTGGTAACCATTTCAGCCTGCAGCTATGGGGCCAGACCTGCTCTTTCTGCTGCCAGATGACAGCACTTTGCTTTCTCTCTACTGTTCCTGCCTTCAGCGTGTATGTGCAACTTTTATGGCATAGTATATAACAAGTAAACAAGGGGAATTAGATCTTGACTTTTAAAAGCTCCCAAGGCATAAACTTTTTTTTAAATGAAGGGTTAGCATCGATACAGAGGAGACAAAAATTTAAACTTCACCATAATTTCAGGCAATTCTTAGTTAAATTCATTTTTTGGTCTTTCATATGCTGTTTGTTTTATGAAAATTGTTCATCTACTAACAAGTCTTACTCATCCAAAGTTTGAATATACAGTTGAGTGTCTCATGGGCAGAGAACTGCAGATATGCAGAGATGTGGGATGTCTCCTTCCTTCATTGATTTTAATATCAGTAAATGTCTTCTTTTTACAAGGGGCCTTGCGGTGGGCATGACTGTGGGAGGAGGACATCAGAGGAGGTTATTCCAGGTGGAAGAGGCACAGCAAAGATAGCAGAGAAATTTGAAAGTCAGCCTATGCTCTTTATACTTAATTTGATTGTAGCTCTGGTTTAGAAAGATTAATCTGATGGCTGCATGTGGCATAAATTAGATGGGGTAAAATGGAAGAAACCGTTGCATAGAGAAATACAACAGTGGACAGAGAGGCCTAAGTTAAAGTTACTCATTGCAAAACTTCTTTGCAATCTCTTACAAATTTCACCTCCATATTGTTTATTTAAAATACTGTTTTAATTTAGTTAAATCCTTCCCGCTCCACAAATAAAATTCCACTTAAACGGATTCCCAGAAAGCCCTGTGCCTCTGGCACACCACTTCAGCCCCTCCTTCCCCAAGGTAACATTAGGTAGGCTGTTGGCACAGGAAATGGACATGCAATACTATAAAAACAGACTCTGGGACTTGACAACTGATACAGAGCAGAGGAAGGAAGTTGGAGATGACTCTGGTTTCAGAGTCATTGCTAGACTCTGTCTAGAAGAGTTACAGCAAACAAGAAAGACAAGGAATGGTGGCTGTGGCACAGAACATAGCACACTCTGTTTAAGACTTGTGCTTGTGCTAGATGGTGTTGTTCAGCTGGCTTCGAGAAATGTGGGTTTGGGGGCTTCCCTGGTGGTGCAGTGGTTGAGAGTCCGCCTGCCGATGCAGGGGACGTGGGTTCGTGCCCCGGTCTGGGAGGATCCCACATTCTGCGGAGTGGCTAGGCCCGTGAGCCATGGCAGCTGAGCCTGCACGTCCGGAGCCTGTGCTCCGCAATGGGAGAGGCCACAGCAGTGAGGCCCGCGTACCGCAAAAAAAAAAAAAAAGAAATGTGGGTTTGGAGCTAAGTTAGGGTAGTCATCCTTCCACAGAGATGATAGTTGGAACCATAGAAATGCATTTTATAATGTTGAAAGTGGATCTTCTGTTGTTTTCTGCCCCTTGTTTCAGTTTCAGAACTCTATTTCAGCAAGATGTGAAAAAAAGAAGAGGCTACGGAAGCTCATCTGATTCCAGATATGATGATGGAAGAGGGTATAACTTTTTAATTGATAAATGATGTTTTTACCCCTCTGTGTAATATAATTAAATTAGAGATAAATAGGCAGACAGACATAGTTAGGCTCATGGTAATTAAAGGCTTAAATTCTATTTCACAAAATTAATGTATTACTGTAAATTAAATCAAGTTGCCTTTGATTTGATAATCAGAGTTAATCTGACAAAGCTAAAATGTATATCAAATATCCTGTGGGAAAAGTCTAAATTAGAGGATGAAAACTGATGGCCAACATTAAAATCTAGAGGTTTCACTTTAGAATCTGGATTTCCAGCTGCTAATGAAAATCTCACGATCCAGCAGCACTGGGTGGGGATTGTGTTTCTATATGGCAAAACTCAGCTGGAGCTGGGTTTCAGTTGGACATTTATAGGAGGAGCTGTTCCGTTTATCCTAACCCTTGCTTGACTCACTTTCCTCATGCGTAGTATGCATCTGGTCTCTTTCAGTATTTGAATTTGTGACTCGCGACCTAAATGGTAGTTCCTATTTTAAATAAAGAAGAGGGTCTATTTGAGTGTTTAAAAGGAATCAATTGAAGTAGTGTCTACTAAACAGTAGAAATTAACTTTTCTTATCTTAGGCCACCAGGAAACCCCCCGAGAAGAATGGGTCGAATTAATCATCTGCGTGGCCCTAATCCTCCTCCAATGGCCGGTGGATGAGGAAGGTAACTTAAAACCTGCAATTCTGCAGGGATTTCATTTTGAAAATGCCTCCTTAGGCAGGTTTTCTTTAGGAAAGCAGAAGTCACAACATTTTGTGATTACTCAGACATCTTATTTGGAAAAATATTTTTATCTTAACCCTTGAAAAATTGTCTTTTAAATCAAAATGTCTTTTGAAGAAGGTTTTACAACATGTAATGACTAGCTTTTTTATACAGATCCAAATTACTAACTAGTAACTATTATAACATTTTCTTTTAGGTAAATGTCTGCTCTAAGAAGCAGACAACTGGACAAGCACATTCATAGCAGAAGGAAACCATCAAGAAATGGAGTGTTGACCACACTGGACAAGTTAGATGAATGTGTACTCTAAACAAGGATTGCTCTGTGTCCTCACAGATGAATGAGGTCGTGCTAGGAATTCCCCCCCCCCCCCCC